TTTCGAAAAATCATGACAAGGCTAGATCAAAACATACATTTCAGAGTACACCGTTCAGCCTAGGCTCAGTTTACGAAATCACTAGAGCTTAGGTCGACATGGTTGTCCGATGCTTACTGCAAAGTGGGTACGGACGGATTTTGATCTTACACTCGCAGTACTTCTCACCTCGGTACCATTATATTAGATACTACCGAGCTGGGGGGCTAACTGTGGGGGGTCGGATTCCACCACGGTAAGATCAAACCAGGGAAACGACCAAGAATACAGCCAGACGAGAAACGACTGCTCGGCCTGGTTACCCAATATCCGACGAGGTGGCTTACCAGACAAGTCAGCGGCATGACAATACAACCGGAACGGCGAAGCTGTGGTGTTAAGCCCGCCAAGTCTGGGAATGTCATTCGGAGGGAAATGCAAGTTCGAAATGAAATCCATTAGCAGAGTCAATAACGAGACAAGCCAAGCCCAAGACATGGCAAGATGGGCCGAGTAGGTTGGCGCAGCCCATTCCGCGCAGCCGACTTTGGAGATAAGGAAGACTTCCTTATTTCTCTAGGGGAACTTCATTGACCTAGGACTATATAAGCAGATGTAGACCCTCTAAGGAGGAGATCCGGAATTCTTTTAGACAAAACTCTTGTATTCTTAAGCTTTACAAAAACAAATCTAACTGTGTGATTCCACCTTCCACAGTTTAATAAAAACCTAACTTCAATCTCTGGTTCTGTGATTTCGCACTTTGAAGACTCCATCCCTCTTGAACCCTAAACAAATCTAACTGTGTGATTCCACCTTCCACACCAAACATCGTTGCATTCAACAAAACAAAGCAAAGAGGAAGAAATGCATCAATACATTAGATGTAAAGATTTGCGACTGTTTTGCGACTATGTCCTTACAATTTCGTCGCAAATTGAAACGTACTTGCTAGATGAGGTCACAAACGAGTCGCAAAATGTATTATTTATAGCAAACTCCACGCAAATATATATATAGGGTATAGCATTTTAGGATTAGTTTGTCGTTTGCTTCTCGTTTGCGTGACACGCTCGCAAATAAGTTGCAAAAACATGTAACTAAATTGTACATCCATGCTCAAACCGTGTATATCTCATGATGCCAAGACATGATCGATTATCAACCTCTTCCCAAAAAATATCAAAAATTTATATATTTTTTTAGAATAATTATTTTTAGAGTAGATTTGGGTTGTTGTTGTTATTATCTTCCCCATTCTTGGTATTTATAGAGAATCATAAATTGTTTTGCTACTAATTTGCGATCGCATTTTGCTTCTAATTGCTACGCCTAAAGCATTTGCGAGGCCTTTGCTTCTATTTTGCGACCATAATATTATTAGTAGTAAAAACCGGTACAAATCATTAAAAACGTGTTCGAAGTGTCAATTAATTTCTGCTAACATAGTGTCAAAACCATAAATTATCGATACACGCAAATCCATCGCAATTTTGGGTTGTTATTGCGACGAAATATCAAACCCATGCAATATAGACGTAAAATTTGTTGGTTTTGCGTTATTGTTTGTCGCCAAATTGCGAGGCGTTAGCTAGGTACTA